GCTGCTGCCTTCGCAGGCTGNGCCCCGTGCAGCCCAGTCATGTGGCAAACAGTTTCCTCGCGGAATTCACGTGCACCGCGCCGCGTGTTGGGCACAGCGTATATTTGCGTCGCGGGGGCAATGCGGTGGCGTCTATTTTCCTTCTCGCGGGTGAACGAACAGGCGGCGGGTGCTCTGCTCCTTCGTACCTCAGCGAATTGCAGCGCAAAATGCCACCGCGACGAGGCAGTCAATTTCACTGTGAGTGGGTGATATTTGCGTGTGACTACGCACACACACAGAGCTGTGGGGATCCGAATGTCAAGTGCAATACGAGAAGCGGGGAAAAGCTTGTTGCAGTTGTTGTGTGCCCTGCAATTCACACGGATTGTCGAGGGAGATCTAAAACAACCAGAGCAAATGTGTGGGAGGGTGCCGTGATGCATCGCTGTTGCGTCGTGTGCGGGATTGGGGGTGCCTGTGCGTGTGTGTGTGTGTGAGGTCTGTGTGCCGCGTACCTTGTGGGTGGCCCTCTCTCTTTTTTTCGTTGCGGCTGCGTAGAGCTGCGTCTGTGCGTATTTTACCTTTTTCTTTCATTCCCCCTTTTGTCTGGTAGTTGGTGTTCGCCCACAGTTCAACTCACGTTAACTTAACCACTACGAAGGAAAACAAAATTAATGAAGGAAAACATGTCTGAGAGCTGCGAGGAAGAATGCCACGGCACCGAGGAGCCCCCTGCAACTAATGTTTGACAGGGAGGAGGGCAGCAGACGAGGTTGAGGTTTGATGGCAACAGGCAACAACTCGCACCGTAGCCCCGAAGGGTGGAAGGAAGAGAGCACGAAGAGGAGGAAAGGGGCCGACGACCGTTGCTGGAGGGACTCTACGAATCCGTGTTTAACGCGAAGTGGAGTTGCGTCGTGGGATTTCCCGAGGGCGAAGAGAACAACATGGTGGTGCGAATGGAGGCGGAAGAGGGCCAATGGCCGGAAGTGTTATGGAATTACACGAAGGAGTCGTGCTTTTTTTCCCCGGTGGGTGGTGAGGGGCAATTCCGCCCAGCACCCCCACGACTCATGGCCCTTTCCTCTGAAAAATGATGGCCGTTCTCGCTGTTACAAGAGGAATATATTGCCGACTGTTACATTAACGTTGAGGCGCAGCGGGTGTGAAAGATAAATCCATGAGATTTGACAGCATGTTTCAGCACTAAATATCCGGAAACGCCTAGCATAATACGTCGTCTTTTGAGTGGAACCCCCGGGGTAGGGAAGTCGATGGCGGCTGGCTCCTACCTCCTCTGCCAGCTGCTGCACTACGACGCTGGAAAAATGCATGTGGTTGTGTACTGCGTTGGAAGAATTTTGGCATACATGTTTGAGAAGACCACACAAACGGTGGCACAATACGAGGGCGAGCTTATTATTAGGGGGGCTATAATACATTTGGTCAGGAATGGAATGAAAGGGTGTGCTATCTACGAGGCTGCAGAGTGGTTCCACGCACCATCAGAAGTTTTTTTGCCCTCCCCCCATTTATGGAGCATGATTGTTGTGTCACCCCCGCACGAAAATAACTTCTCATCATGGGAGGAACGCGCGTGTGCCATGCGCATCATCATGAATTGCCCTGAGGAGCTTGAGGTGAAGGCGATGTGTGCGTGGAGGATGTGTCATCAGCCTGCAGAGGAGCAAGATGAGTGCTGGAGAAGAAGGGTGCAACAACGCATGGATGACGTTGGACCAATTCTACGTTGGATCTTTGATGCGGATGCGTATCTGGTGCGCCGTCTGATCGCTTGTTGATTACTTACAAGGACTCAGGGCTTCGCATGCTGAAGAGTACTTTGCTTACGGAGGTTTGAGAATTGGGTGTTGTGACCATCTGATTTGTGCACTTGTGAAAATTGTCCGAAAACGGTCCAGTTGTGGCGAGTTCTTCCTATGCGCAATGATAAGCGATTGCATCGGGTGGATAGCAGCGGACCACTTGCAGGCGACAATGAAGAAGGAGTTTTATTTTCTAACATTGGAGTTGTGGGGGCAACATTATGTCACCGTTTCTGGAAAAGTATTCTTTGAAGGCGTTTGCGGAGCGTGTTTTTGTCGAGACACTCGTGGATAAACTGGTGGAGCTGAGCCCAGCAACAGCTCGCTCTGCAAGGCGCTGCCTTTTGCAACGCCAGCCTGAGTTACATCCCAAGGTGGCGGTGAAGTTGGAACCGAGGAGCACTGAAACTGTGAGGATGGATGTGAACTTACGGGGTGCTGTACGTGCTGAGGAGCAAAATGTTTCCGCTGCTGGGCGTTTTTTTTTGTTGTTGACTCACATGCGCGAAGGGCGATGGCTGGATTGCAGAAAACTAAGACGGGTGGGCATCACACCGACACCAGCGCGGTGAGGCAGTTCAGTGAGTGTCTGGTGAGTTATTTTAACGGCCAGGACACTTTTGCTCAATGCTTGTCGTGGGAGGTTATTTACGTGCGGCATGGCGGCGGCACGCCGATAGACACGTGGCAGAAGTGCGACAACTCCGCGAAGCTGAGCGGCAAGGAAAACAGAAGGGTACAAAAGTTCTGGGAAGAAAAGCTACGTGAGTACCAGGTGGCGGTAACAGCTGAAAATGTTGCAGATGTCGAAAATGTTTTAAGACGGCAACAATAGAAGGACACGATGGAAAATTGAGGCATTTGGAAGGAGCGTGGGGGTTCGTATTTTTTGTGAAATATTTTAGGGAAATAATTTATATCATTTGCTATTTTGTGTGGGTAGGAGGCGTACTTAGGGCCTCGGTCTGCCGTGCGCCAAATGATTATTATGGCCAGCGCTACCACAGCAGCACCTTTTTTTTTGTTTTTGTTGTGGTTGCGAGAGAAATTGTGTGGGGAATGATGGCGCCTTGTGGGTGTACGCCGGCAGTATTCCATTGGTGATATCTCCTCGCTGTTCCCAGTTGGTTGCTGCAGAGAGTTTGGTCGAGAGGGTAAGTTTTGCATGCTGAGTGGGCTCACCGGCAGGAAGGCAATTGCGGCGGCCACCACAGCCCAGAAGTCGGGGGCAAACCGAATTTTTGTGATTGCTTTTGCGCCTTGGCGTGGTGTTTTTCTCTTTTTTTTTTGGGTGCCATCGTTTTTGGTTCGTCTGTGCTCCAATGGGGGGTGCCGCATGCGCCGCTGAGAGCCTCGAGCAAACGCCGTTGGCGCCTCTCTTTTGTTGGGTTGCCGTCCTGGGCGCATGTGCCTGTTCCGTTTTGTTCGGGCTGCACGCACTGACCGAGCAGTCTGAGGCTACGGCTGCGCTGGCGTCTTCCTCGCTTGTGAGCCGAACGAAGCAGCAGGAAAGGGGGCTGCCGCTCTTATTCCGCAGGGCTTTTTTGACGCTTTTTTTAAAATGTTACGCCCCACTCCTGCAGCGTTGCGCTGAGGGAGGTGGGGGGCGTTGGGGAGTTTGTGGGGGCTGTGATGGGAGGTCCTGCCCGGCATGCGCACTGCGTGTTGCCGCTGGCGGGGTTTGAAGGGGCTGGGCGGGGGAGACGGTAAGCGAGGTGCTTATGAATTTGTTTTTTGTTGTTTGATTTATGCGGGAGGCGTCCCACACTGCGGACTCTCCGTGCGGGTGCGTGTGGGTGTTTCTTCGGGCTGCGCACAACAGTCGCTGCCACCGCCGCCTTCTTTGCGGCTGCCGTTTTTTATGGGCGGCGGCGAGTGTGAGATCGTGCGGCCCACACGTTCGCTAATGCGGCCTTCGTTTTTTGGATTGTCGCTGTTCTTTTCGGTGTGCCCAACTGTGGGCGAGGGCGGTGTCGTTTTTTGGTGTCGGTGTCTTTATTTGTTTTGCTTGCTTTTTTCTCACAACTTTCTCTCCCCAACACACTCGGAATGAAAGACAAGACACACTACTCGCTATTGTGCGCTTTGAGGGTTCTGGAGTCACCACCAGCAACACACACACACAGCGACCACACGCATATATAATATATACGCTC